ACAGTTAAGTCCCAGAGGAATTTGTGCTGGGTCTGAAAGTGTTCCACTCGTCATTAATGATGGTTGTAGCAAGTTAACTTGAAGCCAACAAGGATGGAAAGCTACCTTTTCAAAATTAACCTCCTACAAAAAGGATTTAAAACAGGGAGTGGGAGGCATATTACAGAGAGTACAAAGAGAAAAAAGGAGAGAACATAGAGGATACAGTTACAGTGATCACTTGCAGCCTGCAAGGCTCAGAGAGCAGCCCTTGATTAGATGAAAAGCTCAGTAACTTTATCTCCTTGACCTTTGAGGGAATGAACACCTGAAACACCAGCTTAAAATTCTTTAGCCCAAATTCACCACACGGTCACCTCAGCAGTGCAGATGGAAGAGTTCAGGGATGAAAACTTAGGCTTCAACATGATCTTCTACACACAGAGCAACCAAAGAGCTCCCAGTTTCTTGCTGGTTAGCCTGTGGCACACAGCTCTGGTACTGCTTCTACTTCTGAAACAGAGAGGTACAGCTGAGCCACAGGGCTGAGCAGTGTGAAATTACAGAGAAACATCTCAGAAGGTCAGCTGAGAGGAAACCAGACCTCCCCTACTGGCAGTGCAGGAGTACAGGGAATACAGGACATGAGCCTTCAATCCTGGGCGAGTTATTTCTCGTTCTGATGAAAATGCAATGCACATCCCAGTGCTATCCTATCTCAAGGTAATGATTAATTTGTGGAGTTGTACAGTCTGCCTGAAAAGGATCCCATACTCAGGATGTCAGAATGGCTTTATGCCACCCACAGGTCTTTGCATTTTTATGACAGCCATTCCCCGGGCAGCTTCATTAGACAGATACTTTGAAACGCTGGCTTCTGTCAAGAAACCTTTCACAGAAGAGTTTGCATAATTTTTTGAGTTTCTAAAAATTGCTAAATATTTAACAGGAAAAAAAACCCCCAGCAACTCATTATTCCATCAGTAGAAATGCAACATATGAAAAAATAATCAATCTTTGAAACTGTCTTAAACTAGCGTCAATATGCCGGTATGAGAAATAGTGAAAAAAGTCTGCTGATGATCTATACCTTTTAGACTTTGATGATATAATTTTTCTTTCCCTGTTTTCTAGAATATCATAAGTAGATAGAGTGCACTAATTTGCTAAAGAAAGGACACAAGGAACCAAATTTTCAGCTGACTTACTGAGGTGAACTTTATATGTCAACTTGCAAAGTTTGCTCTACCTCCAAAACAGTTTTTGTTTAAATCTGACATGTGCAAACAATTTGCACACATAAATCAGTGGGGTGATGAAATGCTGATAGAGCTAAAAGACCTTTTGCTTTGAAACTCTTGACTGGAAGAGTCAAAAGTCCAGCAGTAAAAGAAAGGTTTGCAATGCAAGATAAGACAGGCAAAAATGTTCCTCAATAGTTCTATTATAAATAATAGTCATTATTTTTATGTCAGTGATTGCATAATAAAATATTTAACCAGCAAGTCTATTTATTTTCTTACATGGTTTTCTAATATTCCCAGTTTCCAAAAAATGAAAAATACTTTTAAATGTCATCTGATGGAGCAATTGAATTCTATTGTTATAAATCTTATTACTTAAATTCCTTTCTCTGAAAAATGCATTCCATGTCCTTCCTTTTTCCTTTACTTTTCACTTATTTTCTTTTAACTGACAAAATGAGTAAAAAATATTTTAAACCAAGAGCATTTTCACTGCAGTGTAACCTGTATTTAAAAAGCAAGATACCAGAGAAATGAACACTCGGCGCAGGAGCCAGGAGTATCAGGAACCACCCATCAACACCAAGATGAAAATTCATGCTACAATTTCACACAGAGAATCGTGACTGTTAAGAATGAATATTCATAGATAACTGCTTAAGAAAAGTGTGGAATAACCTGATATAAACCCAACAAAATGAAGCCTGGTAAAGCACAGTGGCAAAGCTTTCATAAACTTCAAGACTAAATTCTGTTTTGTGGCTGATGAAGACTTGCTTGGCTCCAGACTCTTGCTCTTGTGCCCACACAGGCAGCACTGGTTAGACGAGAGAGGCAGTTTTTCCCAGGTCAGTACTATGTAGATGAGATATAGTCATCTCCAAGGCACAGGTTTACACAAGGACTCTGGGACTTTCAAACTTAGTACCAGCACCAAAAGAAAGCAGAGGTCCTACATCTCCAAAAAGAGGTGAATGGACAGCTGAACTGGGAAAACTCAGAAAGGTCAAGAAAAACCCAAGCTGGAGACTGAATTTCCATTAGATCTGTGAATCCAAGACACTGATCTTAAAACACATGATCTACTAATCTACATAAATCACCTTCAACGATGCTTTTTTATTTCCTTTGATCAAAAATATCTTGCAAACTCAATTTTTTTTCCTTGTCTCATTGTTCTTGTCAAAGGTTTGAATTGGCTACAATGCTGAGTTCTCCCCTTCCCTTTCCATTAAATATGCATGAACACTTCAAAGCCCAATGCTTTACTGCACACTTACTGTTACATGGAAGTTTGTGAGTGGCCCTAGGGAATGTCTGTAACAATAAAGTCAATCAAGTGCTACCTATAACATAAGCCTGAAGTAGCTCACTTAATTTGCAAGTCTAACTTCCAAAATTGTGGAAAAGGTCTGCAAACAAGGATGTTAAGTATAACAACCCATGGAAAGGAATGCAATTGCTGTGAGCTTGTAAAAGGCCTGAAAGACCTCCTTGCAAAACTTTAAGACATTCTCTGACTCTTGGTCTTTTGTACAAAGCAAGCTGGTTTAAATAACATGGATATTTCCAGCCAATGTAAACCAGCTTAAAAACCAAAATATGACAAAACATGCCATCCATGAAAGCTATTTTGTTTGGCTTTGCTTTACAAAATGGTAAAATGTGAAAGAAAAATTGAGAAACGAGACTAAGAAACAACACTGAACTGAGTTAAAGAGAAAACTCTGTGTATGCACACATCTCCTGCTCCTGAAAATTCATTTTATATCCTATAGCTATAGGAAAAATTGGAGGATCCAATTAACCAAACTTAATAAAGACCAAAGTCTGACAGCTGCTTGTAAAAACAGTACAAAAATCCTCAACAGGAGACTGCTGCGCAGAACTCAGGCAGCGAGCTCCACTTCTGCACTTCACTGCTCACACAATTGCACCAATTACCATCCTTGGTATGGGTCTATTAACACATATTTTATAAATGCCTTTGATAATAACCACACTATCCTGACTGAAGTATTTACACCTGGTTACTTTATACTCCTGGGCATATGGCTTTTTGCAGTAAATACAGAGCGTGAAATTATTTTGAATTATTTAATTTTCACATCTTAGAATATTTTAGGAAGAAAAATCTACAACACCTTTTTTCCCCCACCTAAATGTTAAGAATAATTTAGAATAGTATCTGTGTCTTTCTGTCTTTTTACTCTGAAGAATGGAACTGTATAGTCACATGTGAAAACATGCATTTATATATTATGTGGTTCGTGTATGATGTACTGTAGATACACCATTTAACTGATTCTATTTGAGCTGACAAAATTTAATCAAAACTATTCTTATGGTCATGAGAGGGAGATGCTTTGAATAGTTGTGATAGTAGGATGTGTCTTGCCCACATGGAAAAGGTGGAAAACTTCAGTGGAAAACAGAAGGAAATGAAGAGTTGAGATGAGGTAAAGGGCTAATATGTGGAGATCACAAGCAAGCAGCAATTTCTGCTCCTCAGATGCTGGTCGGGAACAGAACTTTACCCAGAGTTCAGTCCCCAGGGGAAGGATGAGACAGAGCCTTGTCCCTGTGCACCAGAGCAGGTCCTTCCCTCCTGCAGAAGAACATTTGCTTCTGAAGTCTGAAGTGGAGGATGTTCATTGATGGCCACTGACATCCCTTGGCCTGTCACAAGACAAATCACTCATGTTGTTTACTCCAGTCCTGACCACTGAAGACAAACTGGAATGTCTGAAAATGTCTTGGCAAAGAGGCAGGAGTGGAGGTATCTACATTTAACTTGTAATATGCTTGCAGCATGATTAAATAAAAACATAACCACCTGTTACCCTTAATTCAGTGGGAGTATCAATTTTCAATTATAGCATTTACTATCCACCCTCAAGTATGGCAAGGAACACCATGGCAACATAAACACAGTCGTGGCTGCTTGAGAAAGTTAAATTATAAATAGCAATGTATAGCCCATGAGGTCCTGGAAATAAACTAACTAATCCATAGGCATTTGTTACTATGACATAACATTTCCACTCGAATGCTGTTTGCCTCATCTCAAACTCCCTCAGAACAGATTTAGAAGTTTGGCATTACTTGACTCCAAGCAAGTTCAAGTTCAGACATGAAAAAAACAGATATAGTGGAGAAAATAAGCTATAGCAGAACAGTGGAGAACTAATTAACAACAAAAACCACACAATCCCTATTTAGGCTTTATTCTGTTTCCACTGAAGTTAATGGGGAAAAAAATCCCAACATATCCCAAATGTATAACAGAATCCCCTTAATATAGACAAACATGTTTTTATACTGAATCATCCCTGAGGAGAAACAAAGAAAGAAGAAAAAAAGAGAACGGAAGAAGAAAAATGGGCTTAACTGAATAGCAAACAGTTTAGAAATGCAAATAAACTTAGTAACCATCTAAGACACTGGAGAAATTTTGGAACTTGGTGCTCTCTTTAGCTTCAATCTGGGAGAAAGAGCCATGGTAACTGCGGGAGTACAGGGATTCAACCCGAGCTGAGAACTCAAGAGGGAGCTGAATTCTCAATTGTTCCAGTCTGCTGTGCAGTTCCTTTTTCCCTGCAAAGCCAGGCCAAGCAAGAGCAGCAGATTTTTGCCAGCTGGCCACACGCCTTGGGGCTGGAGAGGCTTCCTCACTTCCCACCGACCAAGGGCTCAAAGTGGGAGGAAGGAGAGGAAATCAAAGGCTCTGTAAATCTAGGACTGAATGTTGAGAGCAAAGAGGTAACTGAGAAGTCTGAGGTGTGAGGACTGCAAGAATTTCACTTAATGTAGGCTCACAGACATTATAGAGTTTGGACACAAATCTGGGGCTTTAATCTAAGCAGGTGATAATGTTATTTAGGTTAGGCAAGAATAATAAAGATTTAGAGACATCGGCTTGGTCTCTTTCTTGTTCAGAACAACAGATTTGAGAAATTTACATTTTCTTTTCATTTACAGCCATTGGTTAAGGTCCATTTTTTATCAGACTGATAAAAATCTGTAATGGATCTCGTGAGGTCAATGGAATTATTTCAGATTTACGCCATGCAATTAAAATGGAATTTAAATTCTCAGCATTTTTATTCTACAAATGTGCTGTGTTTTATCACACATATTTGGTGAAATCTTGGTTTCTCTGACATCACTGACAACACTCATTGGTATTACTATGGTCTAATTTTGACTGAGTGTTTTTCTGTTCACACAGAGTGAAGCAAAACCTGCCCCACTGAAGGAAGATTTAAATCAATTTTATATCAAGTCTATGGGACAAAAAAAGCAGGTAGGTTATTTAAGACTGTAATAATGTGTGTATTTAATGTGCTTCATTTGGCTTATTGCAAATCATTGTACAATTAATTTATTAAATGAAAATATTATCTAGAGGTCAGCTAAATTTGCACTTTTGAAGAAAACCTGACAAAATCAGAGAAGTAGCTGGATAAATTTGTCAAGCTTCTTTCAGAAGATAATATTCTACATACTAGGACCAGTGTTCAAATGGACCTAACAAGTGAGACTATTTAAAATCATCTATGTATGGCCAGGAGAGATCCGAGCTTGGCATGGGTAAGAATTTAAATAGAATTATTATTGTCTTTACCTTTCTGATAAAAACAATTTTTTAGTTCATGGTAGAGTCCTGTATTTTGGGAACCCTCCAAGCAAGATGATGCCACTAGCACAAAAGATTATTTTAAGAATTTTATATAAAATGAGAGCAAAACCCTGAAAATATATTTAAAAATTAGTTGTATTTGTCATCAGTGGCTGATTGTTAATCAAGCACTTGAGCAACAGTGTGTGTCACACTGGAGTGTCATTATCACACAATCACAATTATTTTTTTGTCATGCATTGTAAAAATATTTTTACAGAAAAAAAGCCCTGAACATAGTCATTAATTGGTCAGCACATTAAACCTCAGATGACATTTAGTGTGATGAAATGGAAAATAAGGCATCCTCAGCATGCTCACAGAAAACAATTCCCACAGAGTCTAAGTATGCCTAAATCATTTGGGCAAGACTAATCTTAGAACAGACACGTAAAAACTCCTAAATAAAGACCATGATTTTTTCTGGAAAGCATATGAAGAAGTATTTTACTAAATCCACAAGCATTCATGTTCTGTGACTCACATGACTCCTGGTGCTTTAAATTAAGTGTGTGTGCAACTTATGGATGTGCTGGAGCTTGGAGAGTGCACAGCAAAACCAGCTTTGGAACTGCAAAAGAACAAAACCAATAGAACCCAAGACTGCTTCAGCATTTTCTAACCACAAACAAGAAAAAGATGGAAGATGCATATTTTTTTTCCCCAAAAAGAGCCATTAAAATGTCATTCCTACAATTTAGCGCCCTGCATTGTACTTCAGAAAATTAAAAATAGCATTTTGATACATATCCAAGGATTCAAAATTGGCTGATCACTTATAACCAAAATTGGAAAGAAATTATGAACTTAGAAGGAAATAAACAAGACTAAGCCTAGACTAAAAGCATTATATATAAATACAGGTGAAGTTCAAGTCTGGTTTCTTCCACCTACAGGCTGTAAATCCATCTGTTAATTCAACTTGAAATCTAAATTACCTTTTCTTCACTCCATTTTAAACACAGTCAATAATCCTGGGGAGCACCTTTCTCCTTGCTTTTTAGATGCCTGCAGACACTAACAATTACACTTAAATACATGCACAACATCCCTACAGAGAGTTCTTCAGGCTCCACTGGAGGACTCTCATATTAAATTTGCATGAAATGTCATTATTTACTTTATTTTGGTATAAAGCCTCACAAAATCTACTGTTGATCATGATAGATGCTCTATGAACAAATGAAGATAAATTTAAGGAAAATTATAACTATATGAAAAAAACCAAACAAATTCCAAGTAAGTTTTCTATTAATAAGGATACAAAGGATTATTCCTTACCCACAGTGACTGAGAATATTCAAGGGTTTGCATGTGTGTGTTATCCATCCCCATCCTCAGAGTATATAATGGATGCTTATGTATTAGGTTGGACAGCCAAAATGCAAAGCCTGTGTGGATTTTAGCATCCACAACTGACTTGCTTCTATAAGAACAGCCTGGGGAACACATTTGTCAGCTCACCAGTCACACAGAAGAATTTAGTGAATGAATCATTGTTATAAACTATGGATTTTCCATTAACTGACGAGGCAGCCTTTTGTACCCAAAACCATGCTCTCTAACAGATTTTAACAATGCAAATGCCTATCAGACTCAAATGAATACTCATAAAAGAAAATATAATTTGTAACCTTTCCTAATTAGTACAGAAATCTTTGTCTCCCTCTAATCGAAAGGGCTTTAAAGACTTTCAGAACTATTAATCACCTGCATTTTTTATAATATATGCAGTCAAGCACATGAAAATTTGTATAGATATAACATTTCTATATAGTTATATTAGTTATATATTATATAATATATATTGTATGTATATTATTATAGTTATATAGTTATATTATTTCTAACTTTAAAAGTATGAAGAATTAAGAAATCAAACAAACGGGACTATGGGAAAATGTATTTGACATATCAGAGCTATCAAAGCTCAAGATGCCAATATTGACATCTACATTCATTATTAGGTATGTGAACAGAAGTCAGAATTTCAAAAGTGCTGATCATTCAACATTAACATCAACTCTTACAAGAACTTAATGTTCTCAGCAAGACAAAGTCCAACCCAAAATAAAAAAACCTCAGAAAACTCTAAGTTTTAAAAGCCAATATTGACATTCTGTGTTTTTCTCTCCCTGTTCTTTTGTTTCCAAACCTACATTATGCTTCAAAAACAAACACAACTCATGGAGTTCTTGATAGCATCAAGGCTCTGTAGAGTGCTTTAGCTACAAAATGTCCTAAACCACCAACAGGCTGCATTTTCTTTTAAGGGAAATGCAAAACTAGGCCTGTGCTTTGCTAACAAAGCCCTCAAATCAAATGTGTTGTATTTTTCATTACACACACACACACACACACACACACACACACACATATATATATATACACCTTGGAGAAAACAAGTGTTGACAGGGAGCAAGGAAGATAAAGAGAGATGGATGTCAGAGTCTGGTGTTCCTTGGGTAATATTCAATCCTTTCCACTGAAAGATTTTTGAAATTATTTACACTGAACTCTACAGAACAAAGATTGTCTTGTTTCTTTCAGAGAATTATACTGAAATGTCCCAACTGGAGTAAGGGAGAAAATGGCATATTTTTGGATTTCTATTTGCAGTGGAAATCAGTGAAGGTTTGACATCTGCTCTGCATTGCTGTACATTTACAGCTGACCACAACTAATGTAAGATGGCCAAATCAAAGCAAGGTGTTTATTTTTTCCCATGCTAAAAACCAGCTTTCACTTTCATCTGTTCCAGTTAGATCATGCCGCAAAAGAAAATCTAATAGTTATTCTTCTTTGGTGCTAATAGTTAACTTCTGGTGCTTTCTCTCCTAGGTTTTATCTGTTACAATGATTCTTCCCAGGCCGTAAGATTTTAGGTGAATTTAAGGTCACACTGTGTGCAGTAAAGGCCTTGTGAGGAGAGTAGACATGACCACCCACCAAAGATCACATCCAACCCCTTTGCTGACAAGAGATATACACAAGGAATTCTTTTAAAGGGTAAAAATATGTTCAGAATGGTGTAAAAAGGTTTTCTAGCTCAATAATTAACTCTGAATCCTCTCAGACAAATGTGTCAGTGCCTCCACTGTGTTAAGTGCAAAGGGCAGGTGAGGCTGCTGATGCTCTCAGAAGGCATCTCCTAGCAGAATGATTAACTACAGAAAAAGGTCCTTCATGTTTCATAGAAATTCAGTATATTGTAAAGGAATTGGTGTGAGATGCATTAGAGCTGTTGATAGATTAAATTAAAATAGCATAATAAGCCTCTATTTTTGCTGGACAACCTCAGCTCAAAAATGTCAGATAAACATTTTCTACAGAGGTCATGGACATGACACAGTCCAACTATAATTTCATTTACAAGTAATTAAAATAAATTAAATTTGATTACTTTGGTTTAAGTTTGTTTATAATCCTCTTGTTTATGACCAATATACTGCTTTTACAATTGTTCCATACATTTATATATTCCTGAAAAGATGTTCTGTGGCTATAGTTGGGAAATTAAGGAAATGGACAAAGTTGAGCATTATTTAATCTGTTTGCAGGATGAGTAGATGTAGTTTGCCCTGCAGCAGATTACTGTACTTAAAAAAAAAAAAAAAAGTTACACTTTATACCCTGCTAAAGGTTTTGCTGTACTACATACATATAGTTATGTCCAAATATTGTAACACCTGCTGACTCTCAGGGCATGACAACCTTTCCTCATATGCTTTCAATGAGCTTTAAATCTGTCTGAATAAAACATGTTATAACATGTACCCTCTGTACACAAAATGGGAGACTATGAAATCTGCTAAAGAAGTGTATACAAGATTCACAGGATACAAATGCTGTTTACACAGATGTTGTTGAAATAATTTTATGTAAATAATCCACACTGGGAGAATTCATAATGTTTAAAACAAGAACTAAACAATGGATATTTTTATAAAGCAGCAAGGACAACACCTCTAAAACCAGAATTTGTTAATGCTAAAAGGACTTTTTGTTGAAAAACCAAGATCTACATTTACAGACATTTTGCAGGTCTCTGCTTGTTTGTATTCATGACAATATAGCTGTTCCTCCACACCTCATGCAGGCAGTGCTCCCCACAGATTCAACTTGGCTTTTATTTAAAACACAGAGTGGGAGTGATTCCACCAGCCTCAGCAGAGATAATCTTGGTAGAAATAAAGAACAAAGGAAAGAAAAACCTGTCAGGACTTTAGGTTCTGGCTATGCATGTACAGTTCAAAACTAACAGAAACCTTAATGGTCATCCCTGTTTCCAAGGAAAAGGCCCTATGACTCCTGTAGTTTATTTGATGTTCAGCTTTCAAATTTACACAACCCAGCTTCACATCAATCATACCATTTTGCAGCAGTAACAACTCAATTTTCAACAGGATCCAGCAAAAATGTCTTTCCATCTATTTCCCTAAAGAAGAATCACTTTGCTCACAAATCAAGAATTTCAGTATACTTTGCCTCTTCCAGAAGAGTTCAGTACCACACTAACCTATCACATTTGGTTTACATTTTCAGATATAGGTAGTGTTAAAGCACAATCCTTCCTATGAAAATGGTGGAATTATGATTGCAATGAGCTCCAAGCCTGAGAATTTTTTAGCCTCTCCGCTCTTTTCATTTGCTTGGTGTTCTTCTCACTTGCTTAGGAATGTGTTTTTTTAACTGATGATATTTAAAACTCACAATGCAGTCTATTATAATATTCTCTCATATGATGTAACAAGCTATTTGTAAGAATGAACTAACACAAGAAAATGCAAGGGGAAAAATAACCAAGCAGCAGGCTTATTTATTAATTGCAGCTGGAATGAAGACTGCTAACAGATCTATGGAATTGCTGGAACAGATCTTACTCATTTTATATACTAATGCAAGGAAAGGGCTTTTTCTGATTTATAAGGTCTCAATGTTAACAAATGGATTGAATTTGCCAGAAGTACCATAAATGAGTTAAAGAATGACTTCTCATTGGCAATCATATTGTTTTTGTCAACCAAAAGTCCTATCCTGACCTTATTTGCAAAGTTCTTATGGCAGATGTTATTGTTTTGCTTAGCAGTTAACATGGTGCATCCTTTCTCAAAATATTTTAAAGCTGATCAGGCAGCTTGTGACTATGCACATGTAACAGACCTAAACAGTTGTCAAAAATTCAATTTACTAAGGAAGGCTCAGCTTTGAATAAGAACTGTAGTGTGGTGCCACTGCACCTCAGCAAGAACTCTTGGAACAACTCATCTTTCCTGGTGGTTATGGACAAGGAACAAATATGCATCTTCAGCTCCTGTGTCCTGGCTCAAAATACACCACAACAGTTCAGTCTGTAGCAAACAGCATTTCCTAGGAGATGTTTTCTTTGAAAGAAAGCATTTGGCCTCTAAGCAGATAGGTAGATAAACAAACCTCCTATAAATATTTGGGTATCTCATCTAATAAGGGCATCAAGGAAAGAACGCCTCAGGAACAGGATCTGCAGTAGCTAGTGAAGGAATTTCCTCTCCACAACAGTGCCAGAAACTCTTTAAGCCTGGAGACAGTGCTGCTGTTACATGACATCTATCAGTTTTTAACTCTTCTCTAGAGATAAATTTAGGTCGTGATAGTCAGCAGAGCAGCATGAACTCCCACACTGCTGCCTGCACAGGTATTTACATGCAAGGTCATGACTTACAGTTACTTGCCTGGACATTACACAACACTTTACTGCACATTTTTCACATTACACACAAAATCTGACTACAGAAGATTGGATACAGGTGCTTGGCTGACAGAGCTAACACTTCATCTTCCTACCTGTGCCAGATTATGTTCACAGGAATGATATGGAGACCACTCTGGTGTTGGTAACAACACCACAAATTAAGGACAGACTTCTTTCTCATTCATGCGTTCTATGGATGGATAACTGGCAAGGCAGTGCTCAAAAAAGAAAGCTGCTCAAGGAAGTACTTTTGGATGTATGTATAAAGTGCACAGTCTGAAAGGCAGACTATGCAAACAACAGAAAAACAGAGTTTATTAAGTCTACATAAGAAAAACAGCACAAAAAGGGAATCCATGCTGTTGTATAAGAAAGAACTGCATTTTTCCCACACCTGTTGAGACAGGACCTCATAAAATTCTTGGGTGTTTAACTGCCAGAGGTGTCCATTCAGGTCAGCTACCCAAGTGCCTGCACATCAGAGACCAACATCCCAACTCTGGGAACTTGCAGCTCCTATGGAATGTGCCTTTCCTTCAAAGCCCAGTGAACTTGGGTGACTTTATACCCTGCAGAAGGCAGTTTGGGCCTCTTAGAACCAAAATGCTTTTGCCTTTTGAAGGGTGAGCATTGCCCCATGATAATTCTCCTGACAACTGCACAGTGCAGCACCTTGCTCTACACAGATGGCAAAAAATCTCACTGTGTTGGTAGTTAATGTGCAACTGAGGGTAAAAATAAGATAACACCACCTTCCTAAGACTGCAAGAAATGTCACAAAGATTAACAACTATGAGAAATACAGTGTGGGACTTCTTTAGGGTGCAAATACTGTAAGAAAAGGAAGGTATTTGCTAATTTCAAAGATTTGTCCTGGTTAATTTTGTAATTCATAATTAAATTGATGCTAAGCATCAGACATGTTCTAGGTTCCTCATTCAGGCATCTCAGCTACAGTGCTTGGATTAAATAATGGATGATTCAACATAAGCGAAACTACAAAATCGAGTATCTTTATTAATTCTGTTAATATTCTAGAGCACAAAAGACATTCAACATTGTCTTCTGCCTCATCATGAATCAATCATTCCTGTTTTGGGAGATTTTTGAACTTTTCTGCATCTGGAAATCTTGTTTAACGATAATGTTTCAAAATAAATTAGATCTGCTCCCTTCTGATGATGTAATGAACTGTTATTAACTAAGTGTGGTAGTCTAAGGACATCAGGAACTGGCTTGGATAAAATGTTGTCTACATTAGAGTAATGCAATAAACAAAGAAAATTATGTATTAAAAGAAAAATGCCATCCAATATCACAGTACATGATATAACTTGGATGGAAAACATACTAGAATTAAACCTACATCTATGTAACTTCATGTATATGGTGGTTTTAGCTCCTGCTCCCAGCAAAAGGAATTTCCTGAGCAGCCTGAAGTAAATATTTGGCAGTTCCAGTTCTGAGTTTTAGAGAACTGTTAATCTGCCAAATCTGAAGATACAAAACGACCATTGAGACGACTACTCTGTCACACCCGCGAGGACTTCTGCACACATTTTGCAAAAAATAAAACTGTGCGGCAAAACACTCGCCTGGATGGAGCCAAAGAACAAATGTGTACATTAATTAGCGGATTAATGAGTCAACTGGGGCGCTCCGCCCGGGACCCTCGGCCAGAACCCTCCGGCGGGGCCGGAGCGGGGCCGTGGCGGGGTGCGAAGGGGCAGGAGCGGGGCTGTGAAGGGGCAGGAGCGGGGCCGTGGCGGGGCTGTGAAGGGGAAGGAGCGGGGCTGTGGAAGGGCAGGAGCGGGGC